ATGGAGCATGAAAAAAATAAAAATAACACCAAAGTGTTCTTTTGGAAAGTTCCAGTGAGTGCACTTTTTCAGCCATGCTAGCCAGCACGCATTTCCCCAGCTTCAGTTCAATCGTTGGAGCAGTCTCATCTAACCGAGTTAGTATCGATCCGACCCTAGACCTCGATTTCCCCACAGGCCAGGCAGAGATGACGTTGCCCATGGCTGAGTGTGGTCCGGATACTCGCAGTATGAAACTCGACTACTACCGCATTCATGGGATGAGTTTGAACAAAAATATTTGTAAACAAGGGTCGTAATAGCATTAGTGCCCGGATCAAGTTGATGTACGACGTAGGCTGTACGTTAACAGTTCGAAACTGGAAATCCCCTGTTGGCCGATGATACTATTTTTAAGCTCTGGCAAGATGAACTCACACCTCTGAAGTATGATCGCGAGTTTCTTCGGTATTTGGGGAATTTAGCGGAGGGTATTTTTAGTTAAAAATTTGCTTTTATTTTCTCAGTTAATTATACAACGGACTTTAACTCTGTGGGTATGATCTGCGGGAATTGGATGATAGTTGTAAGGCAGACTTCAAACACCAATGATAGTAATAGGAATTTATTGTTTAAGTAGAGAAATAAGCAATTTAGCTTTGAGCACGGCAGCCCTAATAAGGCATTTGTTAGAGTTAATATTAATAAAACAAATGGGATAGAGGTGTTTCAAAAGAGATCTGGAAAACAAATGAAATAACATAATAACATGGTAAGTTGTGGGCGAGAAATTGAAAGGGAGAGGTATGGTTGGGAGTGTAAAATAAATACGAAGTATCTAAAAATGAACAACAAATCGAGATATTCAAGAATTTGGATAGCACTTGTAAGGGATTCTGGCTACGGAAAATTTTGTGACTAGACGGCTTAAGAAAACAAAGAGAGGCGAAAAGTTCTTAAAATGTGTTGCTTTATGATAATAAAGAGAAAAATTATCAATTTCTGAAATTTTAAAAATTGAAACAACGTATCACTGACGGCTTCGGAAAACGCTAAAAATTTGAAAGAAACCTACGTATGATTTTTTTAGGATTTTATGCTGATATGTGAAATTTCGTCTACCTTACTGACCGACAGACTTTTTTTCCGGGAGGGGGGGGGGGGGGGCGCACTTGATATTTTCGAGGGAGGGGGGGTAGACTACATTTTCCGGGGGGGGGGGGGGGGGGGGCGGGGGTGCGGACATTGGTAAAAGTATATGCTTTCTATACAAATTCCATCTCTATATAAATCCCCCCCCCCATAGAGAAGCCTGGAGGAAACTCTGCTTACTGCTTACGGAGGTGAAGTGAAATACCACTTCCGGTTATCAGAAATCGCTCAAAAGTTGACCTAAGCCGGTCTATACGATTTAGTATTTAAACTTTATATATGAAATTTTGTCCATTAAACTAATACTGTATTCGATTTATTGGTTTTTGAGACACCGGCAATAGAGTTCATACTACTGCTAGTATTACCACCGGTAATCGCTAAAGCGTTGATAAAAACCTACGTACAGAATATAACACATAAATATGAAATTCCTTCCCCTCAACTTAGCCAGTCATTTCCACCCCTCCCCGACCCCATTCGAACGAAATAGAATTTATACAGAAAATATTTACTTTTACCAGTCTCCCCCCCCCCCCTTTTTCACAAAAAGTACTTTAGTCTGTCCCCCACTCCCCCGAAAATTTTAAGTGCTGAAATTTTAAGTCTGAAAGAAACACCGCTTCCTCCGTCGCGAACATAATTCCTTTATCAAGCCATTTGTATTTGCGGGTCTTCCATAAATGGAATACTACCCTTCACAGAAACCGAAGCTTGTAACTACCAAGTCTCATTCGTGAACCCTCTATTTTTAAATGACTTGTCATGTACATACTAAAAATGTTGGAATAGTAATACCGACTAATACCTTAGCTTCGAGCGGGGAATGAACGCCGAGAAAAATCATCTGCTGTGGAGAGTTCTATTGTACGTCTGTCTCAAAGTTTAGAGAGGTTGGATGAATCAGTGTGGCTTTGTCTCCCGAATCCCATTCCCATACAGAAATCTATTCTGGTTACATACCTTGACAAAACAATCACCCACATCTTCAAATATCTTGTACTTCACAAATTATAGTTTACAGAGGGTGCACATGTAGTGGAAAAAAAAATTCAAAGCTTTGGTTTAGTGTAGGGGAGGTAACCCAAGTTTTGTTTTTGTACTGATGAAAATTTACTTACTTCCCTTTGTGTATTACATTTTGAAAAGAAAAACTTTTTGTTTCAGTATTATCGTCGATTCTATGACAATTTAACCTTAATGACATATCATTTTAATGCATGTAATCAAGACAACTAAAGTCCAAATCACGAATCCATCAATGAGATCTAAGTCAAGCAGGGTTTTAACTACTTTTAATAATGAAGGTTTAATTTCATAACATTTAGATCACTAGGGCATACATTGTATTTCTAATAATGCTTCAAACCCTCATCTCAAAGACAGGTATATATTTATAGTCACATTTCAAAACAAAACATTGGACAATTCTTTCAAAGTTCAAATAACTTTTTACTGACTGCAAAAAAACATTGATAACACATGTTATAAGTATATGTCTACAAATTATACTCCCATTTATCATAAAAGGTATGACATTTTTTTTAATATAATGAAGACATTGATACAAATAAGTTTGTCTGGTTCAGGGTTCCTAATCAAAGAACATATGAGAGTAAAAAACATTTGGGAAAAAAACTCAAGAATAATTTATTTCTTTACAAAATTTGTTTGTTATAAAATATAATGAATAGAAATTTATCATCTTTTAACTTAAGTTTTTAAACTGTTTTCTCAGTAGTTAACAATCATAATTTCTGAATATTCATATGACTAAAACAAAATCCACACTTAAGGTACTTAATTTGACACCACATTTATAATTTTTGGAGCACAAGTATCATTTAAATAATACTGTTATCTATTTTATTAAAACTAGTGTAAACTTAGGAATGCCAGAAAACAACTTTGAAAAATAAAAACAGAGCATAAGGAATGTTATCTTGAATTTTATGATGAAAACATGTACCACATGACAAAATTTTGAATGTGTGAACTACATTTCTAGAATTCACTAAACATTGATGTATTAAATTTTGTTTACTCAAGGAACATTAAGAAAAACCTATCCTGAAATTCTTGAATCTCAAATAAAAGTATTCTAGCACAGATAAAAATCTAAAAAGTATACATTGTATGATGCCATTTTCTTATTAAAATGTATTTCTTCTAATGATAATAAACTGATAGTTCTATTACAGTGGCCAGTTTAAAAAGAAAAAAACATTTTAAACATGTTTTTAAAACAATCTACTGTACATTCACTATTTGCATGAGATTCTGCATTATCACCTCTCATAAAACCTCAAAAGCTGCAGTTCAAGATACTTTTATGCTCTACATACTCCGAAGCAGAATTATAAATTTAAAAAGAAAATTCAAAACAAGGCCACTCTATTACAAAATAACAGAAGATATTTTTTTACAACGGTGGGGGAGGGAGGTGTTAATATTATCATGGTTTTTAAATATTTATTTACAAGTTCAAATAAGGTTAGAGCTGAGAGACAGAATCAATATAAACTTGTTTTTTTCATGATCCTCAAAAACTCTTCTTGGTTGATCTCACCATCACCATCTCTGTCTGCCTCATCAATCATTTCCTAATGATTGTTAAACATGTAAAAAGTTTAAAAGCTGATTCAATGTTGAATAAAGCTAGCTAAATATTAACAGACAGGCTTAATGTTTTATAAATAATCTATATATATAATTCTCTTCTGGGATCAGTTAGAAAACAAGCTGCAAGCGCGCCTTTGCAGTCCCCTCTCTTCCTCTCTATCACTATCACTACCACCCCCACATGATGTGATGAGCGGTGTTCACTCTGTTTACATTTTACAATCACAGAGACGGGTTTGGTGACGGCTATTAGGGGCAGATAATTTAGTTTGAAACGATTTTAAACTTAGAGGAGGTAACTAAGAGGAGGCTGCTTTCACATGGGGGGGGGGGGGGGGGGTAGTGTTTTTTAAGCAAATATTTTCAATGGCAGCATTGGTACTGTCGAATTCACAAATTATAAATTATTGAAAAGTAGAAAAAAAAAACAACTAAATAGCGGCGTATGATACGCAGCGGGTCGGCTCGTGCAAAATATTTTGGTGGATTCTTTCAGTTAAAATACAGGTAATATTTTATTTTAATGCTAAAAATGCTTAAGGATAATTTAAATATATGAAAACTTTATGATAGATAATTAATTTTATGCTAGCTAATTATAATGCTAACTTCTTCTTTCTTCTACTTCGTTCTTGATTTTTAGTGTTGGAAGGGATCGAGCCTTATCTGCCAGAGGGTTTGAACATGAGGCTTTTTTCGAATTGAGCTTTTGCCGACTCGACCACACCTCCATTACAATTAAGAATACGTGTCAACTGGTTAAGCGCCATTGAGGCAATTGGCTCCGATTTCAGCCTTCTTTTTTTTTTTGGATTTGCTTCCATAGCCTTTGTCCAACCAAGAACAAACTACAGCAGTTGTTTGATTTTGGAATTGTCTCTCCTAGAAGAGTGGTTGTCCCCAGCTAACGATCCTCATCTGCCCGAGGGTTTGAACTCGAGACTTTTCGGTATAGCCACCATGAGCTTTACCGAACTCGACCACACCGACCCCTTATAATGCTAACAAAACTGTTCCAATCATTGTAGACTAAAAACTCTTATAGAAACTGGTTATTCTCACCTGAAGCTCTTCGTCTGTCATGTTTTCTCCTAATTCCTTTGCCACCCTCTTGAGATTGCGGAAAGAAATTTTACCAGTTTCATCATCATCAAATAAACGGAATGCCTTCATAATTTCTTCCCTTGAGTCTTTCTCACACATTTTGTGGGTCATTAATGTCAAAAAGTCATTAAAGTCTATTGTACCTGGAAATAAAATATGGATAGCTATCAAGATTTTTTTGACACCTTAAAAAATAAATTACAATTAATCAATAAAGATTTAAAGTAAGACATAATTCCAACTGATTATACTTTCTAGATTGCTGCATTATTAATTATCAAAGTAAAAGGTTTAAATTACACCTGGCTAATCTTGTTGTTTATTTAATGTCAGAAATAATTCACCAATTTATATATTTAGCCAAATCTGATCACAATTACTAGAACATTACAACCACCAGTTGCTCCAAATCTAGGAAAGATGAAGCAAAACTTACCTGTACATTCTTTATCTATTTCTGCTATTAACTTTTTGATTTCTTCTTTTTTGGGCTCAAAGCCTAAAGCCCTCATGGCAACCTATGAATAAAAAAAAAAAGAGCTATTATAAATGATCAAATATAACATTCTTTTACTGACTATATAGCTCTTTCATGAGAAATTTCCTAATTTTAAGCATGTGAAAAAGTAAAATTGTGTCTCAATTAATTAGTTTATACTCATATTATTGAATAATTGCTTTAATTCTTCAGAGCTATTTTGCTAAACATTTCTGAAATATTAATTCTTAAAAGCTTATGTAAATAACTTAAATCAAACCATTAAGCAATTTGTGACAGAGGCATTTCCTCTATTTAATATCATGAAAAATTCACCTTAAGTTCTTTTGCATCAATTGTTCCTGAGCCATCTGCATCAAAGAGATCAAATGCTTCTCTGATCTCTTGCTTTTGTTCCTCTGTTAGTTCAGGCTTTGGGCCTGTTTTTTTGCGGCCACCGCCAGCTAAGGTTGTTTTCTTGAAATTGGACTGTTTAAAGAAACAAAATAGCAATGAAACAGGAACATGAAAAAAAAAAAAAATGTGTATCCTTTAAAAAAATTTAAGAGATGTTTTAATAACATGAGTTAAATTTCTAATTAATTAAAAACAGAGGCATGTTGCAAATAGATGTCTCAAAATTAATAGAAGCTGAAGAGAGAGAAATAACAAAAACATACATGGAATATTATAATTTGCAGTACTAAGGAGGAAGACATGATTGTGTGTACATGATTTTATTGCTTGGTTTACCAGATGTAGCCTATATTATGTATTCATGGTATCTTCTATTAAACGAGATACAGGCCTTTTGCAAATGACCAAGAATCTAGTTCTGATGTTAAATAAAAAAAGAACCAAAGCACACAAAAACTTTAAGAAAACACTGATCTAGGATTAGATCTAGATCTGCTTATTGTTTTTTTGTAATGTGTGTTTTAATTAGCACATGTAAAAAATATTTTAAAAAACATTAGGCCTACAGTTCCAATTAAATAGTGTGTGATCACAATCAAGGGTTCACATTCACTTTAATTATCAGCATATGTCATAGCTATTTGAAATTACTTATAGTTAAGTGATGTCAGTTTTGGGGTCATTGTGAGTTCATATAAGTTTATAGGATCATGCGTGCGAGAAACTTTAACCGCTTTGAAATTATGAGCTTTGTACTGTACCCGTTGGCATGAAATATTAACTGACATGAACATATTTTCAAGAGTAAAAAAAAGCTAAATCTAGAATTGAGATCTAAATAGTGCCCATTAAATATGGATTTTTCTTAGGCCTAAATTTTGACAAAAGTAGATTATCAAAAACTAAAACAAAAATTCATAAATAAATAGGCCTGGTGTTTTCCTAACATTTTTGTGTGTTTCAGTTGTGATTATAATAAAATACGCTCAACTGGAGGTGAACGTTAAGAGGGGAGTAAATCACGCTACAATGGAATTTTACTGTACACTACCTAGATAGATCTAGTGACTAGTAGACTAAGCTAACTAGGTCTAGAGTCTAGAGTACTCTAAAGACACTATTTACTGGGCCTAGGCCTATTTAAAAAAAAAATTTAAATTTTAAGATTAGGCCAATATTAATATTTTGAAGTTTATTAAGTTAAGTCAGTGAATAATTAGTATTTACGTATCAGATTAGTATTAATTTAATTATTTGGTAATCTATCGTTTTAGGTACGTAAAATCGCCCGCGACTAGTAATGTGAAAAACAGGTGACTCCTTACATTTTAATAATTACTTCACATTTTGAGGAGGATTTATGTTTTGAAAAATACAAAAATGTTTCCTTGTTTCATTTATGTACCTGGTTCTAAACAATTGAATTAAAACTTTTCAGTAATAAATGAATACCAGCGATGTTTCCAACAGATGCAACCATGCTCATTTACTATAGCAGCCATCTTGTTAAAGTTTTATTTTTATAGACTTATAGCGCAAGATTCAGGCGGAAGTCACTCTATTTTACAAATGGCTGCTGTTTATATATTATATATATAGCAAATCTTGCTTGCAGACACTGCTGTTTAAAGTTAATTTCGGGCCTATATTGATATATTTAGCCATTGATTTAGGTTTATTATTCATTTAATCATTTATCTATAATATTTGACACAAACATATCACAATATACTAAATACTTCTATTACAGCCTTGACAATGAGGTAACCTTTTCGCACATTAATAGCCGCGGGCGATTTTACGTACCCAAAACGATAGATTACCAATTATTTTAATACTAAGACTAAAAAAACTAAGAAGACATTAGGCAGGGCCTACCTACAGTTTTTTAAAGTCATTTTAAATTTTAAAGTAGATCTAGAGTTTCTAGACTAGAGTTAGTCTCTAGATCAAGTTTCTGAAGTAAGACATCCCACTGATCCCAATGACTGAGTATTCACTATTCACTCAGTCAGTCAGTCAGTAGTCAGTATGGATCACAAATCCTGTCGTCGTTAAGTGACGCTTTTTATTTTGATTCGGATGTCGACTTTAAAAAATTAAGTGAATAGAATCTAAATTATTTACGAACCGGCATACAACTTTATTACTTTTTATCTTACTAGATCTACATGTGCATATGTGGAGATTCTACATAATATTAAAATAATCATCTAATTTGGACTCACCATGGCAGAGTATTTCTGATTTTGGACGTGCTGCCACCTGCCTGTTTGTTGATCTTCGAAACGCATTGACTGCTTGATATCACTTGTTTTTGGATATAGTTATTTAAAAAACTATAACTTTATTACGAAATAATATATTTTGATATTTCAAGATTACTTTTACAAACTATAAACTAAAACGCTGATTTTATTTTGTTGATATTTATGATATAGAATATAATATATATCAGTCTAGATTCTAGATCTAGATGCTCTAAAATTCTCTTAATTTTTTTAAATAAAAATAATAGGCCATCGATATTACTTTACAAATAATAAATGGTAAGGTATCGTAAATTATTAATATTATTATGTCCAATAATGTGTGGCTTTAATTTTATTTCTTCGTTAACTAATGCTTAAGTGTCTTTCATACAATCTAATACTTCTATAATGCTAGCAGGCATTCTTATATTATTCAAGAACTGTTTTCCAGCATCGCCAGTGTTTCTTCCAGACTTTTTTTCTAGGTGGGGGGGGGGGGGAGGAGGGGGCGGACTACATTTTTCGGGTGATTTACTATATAAATTCCATTTCGTTCGTGGGGGCGTTTTAGACTTTTTTTTTGGGGGGGGGGGGAAGAGATGCCTGTAAGAAACTCTGCTTATCGCGAGAGATGGGGTATAGAGTCCTTGCAAACACGTGACCTAAATCACGTGATACCTACGCCCGCCGCCACAGTGGTGTACATCAGACGTAAACACAATCAGCTGTTCGCCAGCGCTGGACGTGTTCACCAGCGCTGGACGCGTTCACTGTATGTAAAGAACCGCACCCGCGGAAAAGGAAAAATATGTTAAAAAACTTGAACTCTTAGGAATTGAAGATCCTTATACAGTTATTGACAGTTTCGTGGATAATATAAATATGTGGCCGAAATTTCTAAATAAAAATACTGTTAGTAATACCGTTTGCGTTTAGAGTTTAAGTAGACGAAGCTGATCAAATGCAGTAATATATTAGAGGTTATCTACTGTAGCAAACGTGAGACCACTTAACTCCTACAAAACCCACACTACAACGGCTAATATAATCCATGGGTAATAACCAATCTGGGTAGCATGTTATACAATTTAAGACCCTTATAATCCAGCAGGGAAGTAATCAGACACATTAATACTGACGTTCAACCCTCATGATGGCTGCCCCCACCTGTATCTAGCCCACAATAAAACCAAAGAGGAGTCTGCCCTGCCCTCCCCTGAAAATGTCTCACCTCCGTGATACCCAGCCCCACAGAGATAGTATTTCTGATATAATTTTGACCCTCAGGGCCCAGCAGGGAGAACGAAGGGGAAAGTCCCACTGCTCTCCCCTCAACACTTCTCACCTCGGTGTCATGTTATGTCATTTATAGCACACACGGCTTATCAGGGGAAAGCATTAAGGCATTAAGAATCTTAACTCTGGACAGCTACACACTAGTATACTAGCTACACACTAGGTGCCTACTGTAAACTACTAGACTGTAGGCCCTATGTAGACCTGCAATTGTATCAATTGTAGACTGGGTCCATTGTTATTATTCTAAACCATCTCACTTATAATGTTTCTAGCTTGATTTGTTTCTTTTATAAACAGTGGATTTAAAAAAAAATTTAGCCTAATCATTAACCAAATAATAATAATGTGGTTATTTGTTGTTGGCTGGTATGATCTAGATTGTACTACTAGGCTACAAAAACTTAGTAGACCAATTACTAGATATGAATTTGAATTTAATTAAACTCAGTCCAGTATCAGATACATATTGCTGTAAAAAGACAACAAAGTAGGTAGGCCTTAGTAATTTATTAAAGCCTTCTACTACAATAATATCAACTACATGCTTGTATAAAGTTTTTACAATTTAATTTAAGTAGCAGATTCTAGATCTAAGTCTAGTCATATAATCTATTTCAATTTCAGAAAATTTCGTTTGCTAAAAAATGATTAGATAATAGAGCGAGATTTTAGATCTTAGAGACAATTAAATGCTTTATTAGGCCTATTATGACTACTTTTGATTTATTATGGGTGTATTTTGAATCGAATGTAGATCTAAAGTAATTAAATTTAAGTAAAGAAGTAGATTCTAGATTCTATGTCTACCCAGCGGAGCCAGGTATTAGGCCTACTATTAGATCTTATTATTCTTATTAGCCTATTACTTTTGACTTTGTCTTTTACTATTAGTATTTGTGAAGGTCGAGCATATTTGTTTTATTAATAGTTATCTTTTATAATTAAAATGAAGTTTATTATTTTACTGTCCTTACATGAAACAAAGTATCGAGAACTGCATTTGATCAGATTCGGCTACTTTAACTCTAAACGCAAACAGTATTACTAACAGTATTTTTATTTAGAAATTTTGTCCACATATTTATTTATACGAAACTGTCAATAACAGTATAAGGATCTTCAATTCCTAAGAGTTCAAGTTTTTTAACGTATTTTTCCTTTTCCGCGGGTGCGGTTCTTTACATACAGTGAACGCGTCCAGCGCTGGTGAACACGTCCAGCGCTGGCGAACAGCTGATTGTGTTTACGTCTTGTGTACACCACTGTGGCGGCGGGCGTAGGTATCACGAACGGACGTGACGTCATATGAAAGGACTCTATAAGAAAATAGCTTAATTTTGCATAGATTTTATATTTCTTAAAAATAAATTTAAACGCGCTTATTTTCGTTATACGTGAAGTCATTGAGGGTTGTAGCCTGTAGTCACACTGTGTGTGTGACTAATTAGTAATTACGGATCGATCTGATGATAAAGCATCTCTTATAGGAGCTTCTCCAATCACACCATAGTGGGCTTCGGAAGTAAAAAAAAAAAACAATAATGTAAAAGCTTATTTTGACTTAAAGAGAAGATGTAAAAAATAAATAGACTCGAGATCGTGGGCTATTAGACGTATTTAGTAGGCTAGTTTTTCTCTACATGGATTGTTTAAAAGCGAATTTTTTAAAAAAACGACACCCCCCCCCCCTTTTTTTTTTTCTTCTTCTCCTTTCTTCTAAATCAAGTTGAAGGGCGTGTTCAAAAACTTCAATCCTGATTACTTTCACCGGATTGGTTTTTAGAGAAATCGTTTCATACAGAAAATAAAACTAATTGAACAAATATCACATGGCCTAAATCTACCGGTGAGAAATGAAAACTGAAAGTATATATCTGAAAGTATATTATCTTACAAATAATGGGCCTACGACAGAGCGAACTCACTGAAGTGACCACGGGGTGCTGGTTTAGAAATGAAATGGCAATTGAGTGTTCTGTTTTACCCTTATTGTTGTAATTATGTAAACAATGAGTTAGAATTTTTAATACAACGGACATGTTTATACATAGTCACTAGCCTCCCCCCCCCCGAAGAAAGTCTACCCTCACCCCCCCACCCCCTTCGAACGAAATGAAATTTATATAGAAAATATATACTTTTAACAGTGTCGCCCCCCCCCCCCCCCCCCCCCGGAGAAAAAAGTCTGGAAGAAACACTGGATATACGCTACTTTCAGAATGAAAAATATAGCCCTTGCTTTATGTGTAAAAATTACCTAGAGTAGGCCTACATCACAGAGTAATAAGCCTGTATTTTAAAAAAAAACACGTCCTTTATCAATGTCTACTATAGTGCAGCAAATAATAATCACAAATTCAGTTGATAACGTTTTTTTTTTATTCGGCGAACGCATTGAACTATTTATCTGGCATTATAATAGTGCAGTACAGAGTCTGCTAGGCTAGCAATAAATGTGAATGTCGAACTAATACAATATTAATATTAATAAAATTAATTAGTCTAGACCCCATTGAACGTTTAATTTAAGTAGAGTTCATAAAAATGATTTCAGGAATAAATATTTTATCCATTTTTTGGATTTTTTCTTCTATTGCTATAATTTGTACCCATATGCTGTTAACTTTAAAAAGTAATTTAAACAAGTTTGAAAAAACCCTTAACAAATTTTTCTTATTTGGAAAATTCAAAAACCGGTTTCTTCTTCAAGAAAACGATGGGATTTTTTCTCAAAAGGGATTATTTTATGGACTGGTATCCATACCTAAAAGGTAGACTACAAATATTAGTATAATAATTAGAATGTACTATATATATATACTAAAAAGATCTTAGAGTTCTTAGAGGAGTCATACTGCTGAGTTTAGTTTCTGTTTTGAAATTTCTATTATAGATCTAGATCTAGTCTAGAATCTATTCTAAATCAGATTATGATTAACCACACAAAAAATTCTTAAGCTAAAAAAATCGATTGTAAAGTACTTAATTTTTCATGTGCATAATGACATGGTGAACTTTTTTCTTTTCAGCTGGTTTAAGCATTTTTATGTAAGTGGAATAATTATGCACTCTATATCATTCATCATGCTGGCACTTTATTTGCTCAATTGTTCAAGTGGCCAATTGCTCAAACATCTACAATACTGGATAATTTGGCTGGGCATTACAAGTAATCATGATAGAGGTTCGTTTCTTACCATAATAATTCACTGATTTGAATTAAATATGATTTTTGGATTGAGATGTTTAATGAATAAGATATTGTAAAATGTTTTTTTAACCTTTTAAAACCACATTATAAAATAAATTATATATTTAACTATATCAACAGAATTTGAAGACTGTGCTCTACCTATGGTTATGGTGTTCATTTTTGAATGGATACAGATAAGCAGGAGATTATATGAATGTTTTTATGTCAGCTCTTTTTCCAAAAGCACTATTAGCTTCATTCACTACTTCTATGGAATTTTCCTGTACTGCTCTTTTGGCTTTGGACTTGTTGCATCTGTTCCTGTAGAAAAACTCAATTTTTCTAGTGAGAAACCCATTTTAAAAATTTTGAATACTGTAATAGCTTAATGGAGTTATTTTACTTATCACTTGTTGATATCGCTTGTTGTTTTTAGAAAAGTGTTTGTTCATATATTTGGTTCTTTCTTTTTTTTAGCTCCCAATGTTTTAGAGACTGTCCGTTACATTTTAGCTATTGCAATATTCTGCTGGTCTTCACATTTTCAACACAAGTCTATGTTGACATTTGCTGCATTACGTCTAGATCAGAAAGGTAGTATTTTAATTAAACATTGTCATTGTCAGTTATTGTTCTAATAAATCATAAACGCTTCCACTTGATTGAGGTATTTCATTTTAGAATCCACAACTTTCAGGCTAATCAGTTCTATTGAATTTTCACATTAAAACCATACAATTTGATTATTTGATTCTTTTTTTTAAATATATTATATAATTTTTGGGTTGTTGAAGTGAAAAGGGGGAGGAGGTGTAATATTTTGGTGTAAGTTACCTGTTACGAATTGGTTTTATTTCAAAAATATAATTAACATGTTTATTTAAAACAATTAATGATAATGATTTTTTTCAGATAAACAGCCATCTGGTCATTTCATTCCCCATGGTCATCTGTTTGACATTGTGACAAGCCCACACTTCTTGTGTGAGATAGTGATCTACCTGACTCATTGTTTGGTTTTTAGATTCAACAACACCTATTTATTTAGTGTGGCATTATTTGTAGTGACCAATCAAGTTGTTGCCAGTTGGAATGCCCATAAATGGTATAAGGAAACTTACCCTAACTATCCAGCTCAAAGGAAAGCTTTAATTCCATATGTCTGGTGATATTGTTGATTTAAAGAATTTTGTTTGAAAGTCACAATATTTTTACAATATTTTTTACAATTAGTTCACTCAAAATATACCTGGTCTTTCAGCATTTTTTTGGAAGTACTATAATTATAAGCAATTCAAAAAGTTTACTAGATTGCTCTAATGATTTTTCAGAGCAGTCTTTACCAAACAATTTTCAGCATGCTGTCTTTCAAAGTACAACATATTTTCCTATCGTCTCACCGTTAATGTTTTTTAATGTAAGTTTGTAAGATAATCACATTAGATTTTTTATTATTTAAAAAGCACTAAAAATGTGCTTTTAAACAAAGATCTTCATCTTCAATTCATTTTATTAACAATTTTCACAAAAAGGCAGTTTATGTTCTGTTACTCATATTTAAAATAATTTAAACTTTTAAAAATTGAAGTATGTTTCATATATTAATGTATAGGTAATAAATTAAGACTGATTGCTGAATTTATTTAAAATTATCCAGGTATGTTTGTGTAAGAAATGGGTGCTTTTTTTGTTACCTTTTGAACCTATTATCTACTGTGTCTATTCTATTACAAATGTAATTATGTGTCCAACTATGCAAAGAAGTATCTAAATAATTATACACATTTTTTTAAATATTTAAAGCAGCTAAATAATTTGTTATGATGTACTGTGCCATGGTTTTAAAAATGTTTTGCTTTCACATTTACCTTACATAGGTCTATTTGTTGAAAATCTGACTTCTTAGTTTATCTTATGAAGTTAACGTTTGGAGGGGGGGGGGGGGGTGAATTGGAGATGAGATGAGAGTTTCACATAATTTTATTTTTCATTTTTTCTTCTTAAACTCATTAAATAATAAAATTGTTGGTTTATGATATTTAGCTTGATTTCAGAATATTGATTAGATTCCACATAGATATTCATTAAATATAGATGATAAAACTTAACCATTTTCAAGCTTTGTGGCTCATTTTATTTAATTCAACAAGAGTATATTTCTTTTATTTTAAATTAGTTTAAACAAAATAACACTGTGTAGACAATGATTAGTGCTTTCAAATTATACATAATATATCTATATAAGTTTAGCCCAATATGTAGACAAAAAAATTAGGCCTACATTCCATTTCTTCCAATTCCATTTCACTCAGAATAACATTATGGAAACATATTTGGTGAAGAGAAATATCAACATACAATTATACCTTTTTTTTTCCTATTTTGATTTGTGCATAGAATAAATTAATATCTAGATTCAGGGAATTTTTTTTCTTTTATTAACTTAACAGGGATATATATATATGGATATATATATATATATATATATATATATATATATATATATATATATATATATATATATATATATAAAATGTGTTTGTCTTATATACAAGTTCCAAAGCATTTTATTTTGATTCTTTTATAATTTATTTTTGAAAATTCACTGATTAAAAGTAGCTTAAACTATAAGCTGAAACTTACTTTTTCTGAACTTCTGATACAATAATATTAATATTCTATTCAAATTTATTTTGAAAGGTGCAGCAGTTATACAACAGTGATCTCTATTTATAAGTGACAGGTAGTTGTAATGTAATGGACCACATAGGGAAGTAGCCATAATCTGAGACATAAACTACACAAAAAAATCCTAAGGTTAAGCTAACATTTCACACACCTCCACCCACCACGCCTATTTTCAATATCCTATTCAAGTAGCCTAAACTACAAGATGTTACATTTTGGCGTATTCTGGTTTGAGTCTCTTGTTTGTCCATTCGATAGTCTTAACTGTTAGAAATTTTTTTTTTTTTTTTGCAATGGAAACTGAAGGCAACACGCACTTAAATCAAGCTTTTTTATGCCACCTTCCTCCAGAGTTTATTCCAGGCATTGCCCCCCCCCAACGGAATAGAATTAATATAGATAATATATATTTTTAATCCCCCATCCAGAAATTTTAGTCCGCCTTCCAGAAAATTTCAAGTGCCCCCCCCCGGAGAAAAAAGTCGGGAAGAAACACTGCCTTTCATCCCCCAACATCGTCACAAATGACGTCAGATTTTATAACATTGTAAATTTCCTTGTGTAAAGTTGTTTAGTGATGGCGATCCCCTGTGTTTGTTTGCTTGTTGTATACTAATGTATACACTTCTAGATGGGATTAATGGGTTGTTTTACTGTTCGTGGGAAAAATTATTCAGAGATAAGGATCAACCAGCAGGCTTACATAGTGCACTTCTGTTTTTTGCAGAAGAAATGTAGAATTATCTCATTGTTTTCAAATGTAGGCAATTTCTGCAGTATTTACAGTGTAAGCGTAGTGTCACAACATATTTTTCATGTTGCTCGGAATACCAGATCTTATTAGAGAAAACAAAGTGGTCGATGGTGGGTTAATTGGGGGGGGGGTGCATTTTTCATACTTTCACAAAGTCTGCAATCATTACAAATGTTTAAAATCTTTTATCTGTTAGACTTGAATGATTGCCGATTTGTGTGGTTGTAGATGCGTTTGGATGCAGGAACTGTTACAATTTCGACCTTGACTTCAGTTATAGAATAACGGAAATATGAATCTCCTGAACCGGAGCAGATGTTTTAACTCTTTTCATTAATTAAACATTAGCGTTCTATACACCAGCTCTGACGGGTAGGCATACCTGACTCAACATCCCTTCATATGCCGAGGTCAAGAAACATGAACTCTGTTTCGTGTGCCATATTGGGTCAGAGATGGGAACTTTACTATAGGCACTACATCGACGACAAAAACTTAGTGAGAATTTATGTTTTTGATAGTCTCAAAACTTTTTTGTTACTAAGCATAGCAAGGTGTTCTTCTGTCTGAAAATGATAAATGTGAATCTGCTGTTTGACACTGCTTTTCTATCGCCTTTCCATATTTAGTAGTGTGTTTTTCCTCTTTTATTTCGATCTTATTTTCGGTTGAACTTGTTTTTTTTTTTTTTAAAGTGGATTCAATAGTTGGATCTATCTAATGCTGGCTTTTGGGTCCATTTGTTTTTTTTTTTTATTTGTTTAAGTTTCGGCTACACTTAGGTGTATTTTTTTTCGGTGGGTTTTTGTTGTCGATTGCGCTTTCGATCGGTCAACCCTTATGTGCATTGAGTTGTGTCCCACAAGGAGTCATCCATAAATGACGTCACGCTTTTTTGGACGATTTTTACCTCCCCTCCGTCACACGTCGTCACAAAAAGCCAGACGTCACACCTCAGCCTACAACCCCCCCCCCCCCCCCTCAAAATTGCTGTTGAATTTTTCTTAAAACATCGATATTTTTCCAAAATCTTGTCAGAACTCTGTCAACATCGAGTATTTTGATCAATTCCTATTACAATTTATTAAAACCGTTTTCTAAAACGCGAAATAACGGCTAAAACTCGTTTTCTAACATTGCTTTTTTATAATGATAAAAGTGACCATCTAAACCCCCCCCCCCTTCCTCTCATCACACACCGTCACAAAATTACGGAACCCCCTACCCCCCCCTACAAGTGTGACGTCATTTATGGACGACCCCCAAGTTGAAGGGTTCACATTATATTTGACCAGGTTTTTATAAAGTAAAACACGCATTTTGCTATTGTTTTGTATTCCAGCACATTTTCGACCATTTAAATTTAAGTATGAACTCTTTTTTTCCTATTTGCTTTACATGTTAAACATTCAATTTTGTGTTTAAATACCCGTGGACCTCGTTTTAGTGAAAATATTTGAAAATTTAAAGCAATTATTTAATTATTTACTAGATGGCTTCCGCAAAATAGATGATGCATTGTAATAGTAAGTAAATAGCAATTCAGAATTGCATGTTATAAATAAGTTGTTCCTGTTTACTCTATTGTGACAAGTACATATTTGTACACCTGTTACAATTTGCATATTGCTTTACGGGTAACATGATATTGGTACACCATGTCACGACACACATTAACATTCTCCATTCTTGCAATAGTTGTTTTAGATAAAAATATCCTGAAATTAGGTAGAAATGGACAAAGTTATTGATCGAGCAATTTTTTAAGATCAGAAGAGTAGACTCTAAAGTTTTATATTATTTAAAAAGCTAAATTCATCTGCTTTATGCTAAGGTTTTATATTAAAAATAATTTCCATAATTTTATAATACACCTATTTTACACTAAGTAATGTACATCTTAAACAGAAAATCTAAGTGACAAATGAGAGAAAAGAAACTACAGGCTAAATGTACAGTAGAGTATATTTTGTTCTTAATTAATTCGACTGCTTTCAACACTTTTTAATAAAGATTCTACAGTTCGCTCCCTTGATTAGTCCCTATTTAAAAAGCAATAAGGTTTTCTTACTTTTTGTAATCTTTTCCTCTTTTGTTATAATTTTGATTTAACTGCATACTATTTTTTTCCACTAATGCAGCCGTGTACCAAGCAACATAATCGAATCTACTAATAGTAAGGTTGCTTGCATTCAGAGGCGTAGCGACCTAATCCGACGCCCGTGGCGGACTATCAATTTTGCGTCCCCCCCCCCCGTATTTCTTTATATAGTTATTCTTGTCTGTGAAAAAGCCCCCCCCCCCTCCACCCACAGTTGGGCAGGTGTGTGGCGTTTCTTACCAGTTTCTATCCTATTTCGGTGTCATAAAGTTGTTAAATCATTGTGTAAAGCCTTGTAGTCGTTTATTTTACGAAGCTTTGACAGTGTATAATTCGATTCTTCAGCTTAAAATTAGCCCCACCCACCCTCCCCTAGCTACTTTACAGTTAAACAAAAATATAATTTAATGCATTAAGAAACCAGGTGCTGTTCCATGATAACTATGTATATACATACATACATACATATATATATATATATATATATATATATATATATATATATATATATATATATATATATATATATACACATATACATAATTTGTTTTCTTGGTCCACAAATGTGTCAACACCACTGTTTTTTGTCCCACTCATACCCCGCTACTGCTGAACTGTACAATATAATTAACTGATGGCTTCTATGAACAACCTCCGTTAACCCTCAGATACTACAGGTTATAGTTATTTAAACGACCATCGTGATGTGTTTATCAATCAATAACAGCACATGACCATCTGTTGTTACGTGCTAGATTTTTATTGTGCCATAGTTCTCTTCCGCGGGATTAATAAACGTAAGCAGAGCGAGATATCAACACACATTCAAATACCTGCTCAAAATCAACACCCAGGTGAGGAATGTATTTATTTATTGTCAGTCGAGAACAGATTCTATAGGCTAAGTCTAAAAAAAATTAAATTCTTATGCTTATTTCTGAATTATATGAGTCGACTCGCTGATCAAATATTTATTGAAGTGGTTTAACAAGGGCCGTAACTCAAACTGTTTGGAACATTTCAGGCTGTTTACATTCTCACCGTTATCCAGTTGAAGGTTTTCTGTATTTAAAAAATCGATATATATTTTATATATATATATATATATATATATATATATATATATATATATATATATATATATATATATATATATATATATATATATACAAAATATTAACTTTAATCGGTGCCTCTCCTCTGAACCTTCAAGATCCCCCACCCGGAAGTGTATAAGAGCCTCCTACAGAGAACACATTCATGCGTTGTTTTTATTGTAAAATTGTTGTTATTTAACTACTAAGAAATTTATTTGTACTGTAGTTACTCATAGAGGTGGTAGAAGGCCTTTACTATCCCCAACTCGGTCCACAGTTACCTAAGAAAAAGATGAATATCACATAAGTATTGGATACTTTGATCATCAACGTCACATTATGCTGTAGCCTACCTCATTTGTCGTATCTAGTAAAAATAAAATGTGATAGTTGATAAATATTTGGAGGGTTGTATAATCTTGTATGTGTGTGTCTGTACTTTACAACAACTCATCCTTAACACTGCCTTTACCCTTGCTGGGGTATAGGCCGCCAACCAAAGATCTCCAAAGCCCTCTGTCCTGCTGTGGTATGGGCCGCCAACCAAAGATCTCCAGAGTCCTCTGTCCTGCTGGGGTATAGGCCGCCAACCAAAGATCTCCAAAGCCTTCTGTCCTGCTGGGGTATGGGCCGCCAACCAAAGATCTCCAGAGTCCTCTGTCCTGCTGGGGTATGGGCCGCCAACCAAAGATCTCCAGAGTCCTCTGTCCTGCTGGGGTATGAGCCGCCAACTAAAGGACTCCAGGGTCCTCTGTCCTGTGCCATTTTCTCAATGTGTAGTTTCAGCTTCATTGTCCCGTAGCCAGGTGTTTCTTGGTTGTCTTTATTTGCGGGTCACACTTTGATGCCTGACTAGTGATACTAGTTGGCTGTTTGCTAGGGTTTACCAATCACTAACCAAATATATAGATTTCAAATATACCTAATTTTATTTTGACTGAAAAGCTAAATATCAAAGACATCAATCGTATGGTGTTTAATTCAAACAATTTTCATAATCTGTTTATCAAATATCTGCTTTTCTTTTTAAGCAATTTATGACAGGTTGTTAAATTTTAGATAAACGTTTTTATTTACAAAATTACTCTTTCATTTGCCTTTTAGAAAATTAAAAACAAAATAAAATTAACTATGGCTGGAATCAAAACTACAGACACCCGTTGCTCAAAAGACAAGTTTATTGACACGGTGGAGGAAGAGATCCTTTCTTGTTCCATCTGCAGTGAAAAGTTCGACCAAAGCGAACGGGAACCCAAGACCCTCCCTTGTAACCACATCTTCTGTAAGCACTGCCTCGCCCGCATGATGTGTAGAAAGGCGACCAAGGCTGCTAAATGTGAAAACACCATCGTGTGTCCAAATTGCAGGAAGGTTTGTAAGATAAAATCATCAGTCAAAGAGCTGCCCACTGACCACAGGGCTATCCAGCTGATGGATCTGATTGCCGAAGCTTCGGTTGTGAAAGTGGACCAGTGTCCCAAACACCCGACGCAGTCGTTGTATTTTTTCTGTGAATGTTGCCAAGTGCCGGTGTGTAGAGACTGTACTGTGCTGGATCACAAGGAAACAGAAGGGCATAGAGTTAGAGACGTGTCGGAGACGATGAAGGAGTATAACCCTCATTTTGACGCTCTGGAAAAGCTAAACCCAAGCACAATTGATAAATTAAATTCATGGGCAACTGAATTCCGGAACACGATGTTTATGATGAATGGTATGGAAGCAAGTTTAAAATCTGAAATCAGCAGTACTTTTGATCGATATCATACAATTTTAGACGAAAGGAAAACGACTCTAGTAAACCAGGTATCTAGTTTGTACAATGAAAACCGCAAGAAGCTGGAAGCGAAGCGAGCAGAGCTTTTTCAAGCTCACTCTCAACTTCGCGTTCACCACGAGAGTTTCAAGACGTATAGGAAGAACTCTGACGTGTTGAAAATGTTTGAAAGTTACAGAGAGCAAAGGGAGTTCTGGAGCAAGATGGCCGCTGTCCCGCATAAACCGGAAGTCATCAGGACCTGTGAGTTCAGGGCTACAAATATGGAGGAGGTGGTGAAGTTCGTGGGACAGCTTGGTGTTTTTGTAAACAAGCCCGATGTGGAGGCTACGACCTTGCACAATCTGAACATTGCTGAACCAGTCCAAGTAGAACACACTCAAGTGAGTTGTTGTTTTTAAACACGTGTAGTTTTATATCATTTAAAGGTAATGTATACCGGTAGCCACATACGGTTAACTTTGTTGAAACCCGAATGTTTCAAGTTCGATTACTTCCTCGATTCCTATACAAGTTATTCAGTCCAACCAGAGTTTCTTCCAGGCATCTCTTTGGGTGGGGCTCCCCCTTCTCCCCCCGAAGAAAGTCTACCGCCCCCCCCCCCCCCCCGAACGAGATGGAATTTATATAGTAAACAAATACTTTTAGTAGTGTCCGCCCCTACCGGAAAATTATCAAGTTGCCCCCCCCCCCCGGAGGAAAAAGTCTGGAAGAAACACTGAGTTCAACTCCTATGAATGACTCGAGTCAGGGCAGGCAAAGGTAATCTAAGTCAAATAATAGACGACTTTGCTTTATCTGACCCATGTACAAGATAGTGTCAGTGGCGTCGCTAGGTCGGGTGTTACCGGAGGCGGCACTTCATGGTGTCACCCGGTGCGGTCCGCACCCCCTACCCTCGCTACGCTTCTGGATGGTGTTGGAACATACGTGCAGCGATACATTCTACCCAGCTTTCAGTGCTGGTTCACGAGACAGTTAAGTCAAGTTCCCTTTTTGAACTTGACGGCCCATTGTGGCAAGTGAAGTAGAGTTCACGATCGTCAAAAAAAGCGTGACGCCATTATGGATAACCCATAGGAATGACACATTATATATAAATGACCCCTAACAAGACTTAAATAATATTTCAAAGAGAAAAAATGTATTTTTCACAGAGAGTTTCAAGTGAATTTTGTAAAAAAATATCTGCATGAGTTTTTAAGCTCAAATATTTTACTCTCATGCAGAGTGAAGATGAAACCATTGAGGAGAACAAAGATGATCGCAAGAAGAAACACAACAGAAAGAAAAAACATTTTCATCTACTGTATGCAACTTATAAACTATAGCTGATCTATTGTTTAAACTGAACAGGTGGGAGATCGTACTGTTCACAAAATGGCGAAGAGTTGATTGTATCATTGTATGCTGGTTTGTTTATCAGTTTTTTTATGTTATTTTATTTTTAAATTTTGGAATTTGCTTATCTTTTTAAAATTATATAGGCGAGTTTACTGTTATAATATACATCCTAAATAAGATATATTATTGACATTTTAAAGAGAGAAAAAAAAGTAGCTTTCGTTTACATTTGAATGTTCGTTGAATCATAAACGACGAAAAATATTTTGAAGAAACAACAAATAGTCTTACTTTTCATAGGTTTTTTTAAATAAATTAAAGATAGTTTAAATTTTAATACATCATTATGAAAAACATCCTATAAAAATACTTTAAAAATTACAAATCTTCTAGAGACTCTTTATAACAATCCTGATTCACGCTACAATAATAATTGTATTGCTAAATAGCTGAAATTGTTTAAACAAAGCCTATTAAAGTTAAATAAGAAAAAAATACAATGTATATAAGCCTACACGAATACACAGTTACAGAACACTATTTCTTACCATGAAGTAGTAATACGCAATATTCTACGTTGTTTTTATGGACGGTTTCAATATGAAAATAGATGTTTTACATTTTTTCCTAATGAAATTCATAAAAAAATATGAACAATACAACCTTTTTTTCCCGTTATAATAATTTCAATATCTCTTAATCTAGCTTAGAATTACTATGACTTTTTTAGCAAAAGATTATCATCGATCTAATTAAGCTTGTTTACTTGACCAACTAGCAAACAAAGGGAAACAACGTTGTATTTCTGGTTTGTTATCTTAATGTAGTTTTTTTTTACTGGTAAAAAAAAATTCATAAAAAACGTTTTAATAACAAGCTTTTATGTAATGATGCACTAAAAAGTAGAAAATAAATTATAGACTACTATTTAAATAACTATAAAGAAAAGCGTGGGTGTCTTCCTTAACATTAGTAAAGGTATCCAATAGATACTAAAGTGACCCACGCTTTTCTTTATAGTTATTTAAATAGTAGTCTATAATTTATTTTCTACTTTTTAGTGCATCATTACATAAAAGCTTGTTATTAAAACGTTTTTTATGAATTTTTTTTTCAGTACTTTACATGTTTTATCTACAATAGAGTTACATGACTAAAAACCATTGCGCGCCTACTGAATATCACGTTCAGTGGGCGCGCAATGGTTTTTGAACGCAGCCATTACGTGGTCGTGATGGCGCAGCTATTGATGACGCGTGTGGTGTGGTTGGCTAGACATGCCTACTAATTCGGTCCAAATTTTAATTAATTCATAAAAAATCAATTAGGCATCCAATTAAGTCAAATTTAGTTTCAGATTGCATTGTCTTCATGTCTTGACCCACGTGCCAACTGTGAATCGTGTCGGTCAAGTAGAACTGTCCGAATTTTCACTCCTGCGTTTCCGTCTAGACTGACGACTGACGACTGACGACTGACGACAGAGGAAGTGAGTTAAATAAAAGCTTGTAATAAAAAAAAGAGTTATCTTAGTGAACCAATGAATAGTAAGATACTAAAATGCATGGGAAATTGACTTCATTTGCCAAGTTTTAGTTGTATTACTTTTCTTCGCTGACTTCTTTTTTAAAAGTATTTTCAATTTATTTCAATGTTGGTGCCTAATTTTCATATACACGATTCGAATTAGTCATTCACCCCCTTCTGATTGATATCAAATTGAGTTTGTATTTTAGTGGGATAATCTTTTATTTGCTAGCAGATTACTCAAACTTGAATCTAAAAAGAAGTATAGTGGATTTAAAAAATAAAACATTTAGGTTTTTACATGTATTTCAAAACACTTTTTTTTCTCTATGGAGTGTTCTTTATAGAAAGCGAGTGCGCGTGTTTGTTTTAAATGTATTTTTACCACCGCTCAACAACTCGAAGTATTTATTATATTTGAAATACTATTGTTAGCTGATGCATTGTGATTAAATGTTAGTATTAACAGTACACATTTTTTGCCTATCCTTCCTCAATTCAGAAATACACCAAGGGTATAAATTAAATGATTTAAAAGCTTCATCCAATCCACTCATAACATTATGATTTGGAATGACAACCAGGCAGTCTTGAGATGTAAATGACACGATCGTCGCGGAGAGCTTCAAATGTGGCCAGACACGTGTAAACGTACCATGCTAAATTCACGATAACCTGGAAACAAAACAAATTTGAATTTTAATTTCATAAAATGAACTAAGTAGCTTATCTTTTTTACCATCATTTGAAGATTAGAGTGCATATTTGATGATTTTTTTTAAAATTTTGACCTTTCATAAGACCCTTTTTATATGACTTGTTTTAAATTATGAAAGCAAAGATTATTTATTTTTCATAATGTATATTTTCTTATTCATGTCTATGTGTCTAAGAAATGTATTATGTTTTGTGTATATTTGTATAGCATGAATAATATTAATCTAAAATATAAATAAACATGATTTGAAAATGCGTCAGCCTGATATTAAAGTTCCGGGACACTGGACATGATACCAAAATACCTGTGTTATGTGATACAAGTGTGTATACCGTCTCGAGTTCCCTTTGTTGTGTATAACTATAATATAAACTTTGAGATTCCCGAAATATATTTTACAGATGTATTTATAGTTCCGCGTTCCAACTCATAATTATTTAAAACTCAAAAAGTGTGATTAAAATAAAGAGATTTCCAAAATACGTTTTACATTATCCATGTATAGTTTCCTGCTCTAATATTTATTAATAACGCATAACTTTTTACAGTGCCGGCGTTAGGGGGTGGCGAACGGGGCGGTCGCCATAGGCCCCGCGCTTGAAGGGGCCCCGCGCTTCAGCAATGTCATTGTTATCTTAATAAAACTTAATTAGTTTGTAAACTTTAAAAAAATGGTTGCTGAATTCAACTGGGGAAAAACTAAATGGTCGAATGCCGACGTTGTTTGATTGTTATAACTGAGACCATGGTGATGTTAGTGAGTTATCACCCACTGAACTGGGACAGGCCGTAATTCTATACAAAAAACAGTGTCACACACCTCCCCTTTGTGTAGGGTACGGTCGCCTGGCATTTGTCATGAGCTGACTGGAGATGGCGGTCGAGAATTAGCCCACGACCTAAAGAGATACCCTATTGTATGCGGACCCATGAAGACGTCCTTTTAGATGTCTGTAGTAGACAGTTAGTGACCTGATGAACTCTAGTCCTGACTTTCTTGTTGTAGATGTCGTATAATGTCGTATATGTACAGTGTTTATTCCAGACTTTTTTCTCCGGGGGGGGGGGGGGGGGGGGAAAGGGGCACTTGAAATTTTCGGGGGGAGGTATACTTTCTTCGGGGGGGGGGGGGGGGGGGCGGACACTGTTAAAAGTATATATTTTCTATATAAATTATATAAATTTCATTTCGTTTTCGAAGAGATGCCTGGAAGAAACTCTATATGTAGGCCTACTTGTCTAGGTATAACAAAATTAACATTCAGTTGCGTGCAGAGGGGTGAGAGGAGGGCGACGAGGGGGGGGGGGGGCGCCTTAGGATCTATATCAGGCGGGTTTAAACAGAGTGATTTATTATTATTTTTTAGAAGAAAGTTAAAACTGTTGTTATGTTGTGTCACCTAAAGGATTCACCCGTTCAATAATTAAGATAATAATGTTTTTTGGTTTTAAAATATTGTATGAATTCTAAATAAAATTTGAAGTCTATACTGTTTTGATACATCAGGCCGAGTTCGCTGTATTGTAAACTTTATTTTCCTAATTATTCGGCACGTGATTAAATTTTCTTAAGTGATTTGGTATGAATTACATAACTGTCAAATGTGATTTAATATATTAGCAAAGGGAAAAAAAACTACGAACATTGGGTTAATACAGGGGAGAGATAAAAATCTGTTATTATAATGGAAAGTTTGACATTAGCTTATAAACTCCAAAACATTTGTGTTATTGTGTGTACATCACATTATATAGGCCTTTATACATATATATATATATATATATATATATATATATATATATATATATATATATATATATATATATATATATATATATATATATATATATATATATATATATATATATATATATATATATATATATATATAATGGAAAGGCCCCGCGCGGATGGTTGGCCCTAGGCCCCGCGTATTCCTAACGCCGGCTCTGACTTTTTAACTTTCCGTAAAGAGTTGGCTTTTCTTTAGTCAAGTCATGTGAGCAAAATATTCTCTATAAATAAACGAGCTTAAAACTTAGTCTTCGTTAATGTGTCCATACCCCCACTGCCAACCCAGAAAGAAAAGAAAACAAAAGCTAAAACAACATTTAAAAATTCCGATTCTTTAGTAGAGGTGTTAAAATTATTCAACCGTAACTTTGACACAAGCCCTATCTTTATGGCCCACATCAGCAAGCGATTTGATTGGAAGAATAGAGTAAACAAAACGGCGCCCAAGTATCACACACAGTAGGCCAAGCGTGTAAACACTGTACCTTATGTTCTTCCACGATCACTGATTTGTTTGTGGGTAGCAGCGTAAGTTGAGATCATCGCACGAGCCTCTCCATACCTTGACCTTCTTTTCTGGATGTTCCGGGTCAAAGGTTATTATTAGAAACAGATTTTCCCCGTCGTGTGTTTTCTTATAAACGTAAATAAATCAATAAAAATGTATTATTTACTTTGAAAAAATGTGCTTTCGTAAAAGTAAATGACACTTCCCGATTAGATTAGCTAGACCTGTATAAATAACTATACCTCAATGCAGGGGCGTAGCGAGGGGGGGGCGGGGGGTGCGGACCGCACCGGGTGACACCATTTAGGGGGGTGACACCAAGGCAAAAAATAGCAAAATATATAGAAAAAAACTCGAGGGGGGGTGCAAATCGAAAGTTTGAGGGGGGGGGGTGCAAATCGAAAACTCGAGGGGGGGGGTGCAAATCGAAAGTTTGAGGGGGGGTGCAAATCGAAAACTCGAGGGGGGGGGTGCAAATCGAAAGTTTGAGGGGGGGGGGTGCAAATCGAAAATTTGAAAGTTTGTCCCTGGGAAGGGTCTCTATGCCTCTGGGGGGGGGGGGTGACACCATTAAGTGCCGCACCGGGTGACACCCGACCTCGCTACGCCACTGCCTCAATGCCAAATCTACCCCAAACCCAATTTCCAGAAATAGGGTATATACGATATATGAGTATGTGATAGTGATACATATA